CGCACACCAAGTAACGCCCGGGTAACGCCGCCGGGAGGCGGTGTTTAACGCCCCTGGGGCGTGAAAACCGGCATAACGCCGGTCTGCATTATGGGTATACCCATTGCCCTCATATAGCTAGGGCCTAGGGGATGAGCCGATTAGGCGTTACCTTAAAATCACCATTTTTTGTTGGCAAACCTTGGTTATTGTTATTACTTACTCCCTGCGTCCCAATTTAAATCGTCTGTTTTGACTTTTGGGCATATTTAAGGAAAATAAAAAATAGAGTTGATTTTTCGAAATTGACATTACTTTTTAGTAGGGGTGATGATGAATGAGAAGATAAGGTGAAGAAGAGTGACTTATTTTAAGGGTAGTTTAGGTATTTTATTTTTAAAAGTTTACGAAAACAACTAAAGGCAACTTATTTTGGGACGGAGAAAAAAAGCAAACAAGTAATTTAAAATGGGACGGAGGAAGTACAACACTAAGACCTTATCAACGTTCGTGCTTGGGCGGGTTTCAAATGGGTCCGAGAGGTTACATGACAAGAGTTGTTAAGCCTCGAGCCCGACTCAGCCTGCACATCAGGCTTAAAAATGAAACGCAATCTCGGCCCACATGAAAACCTACAGGCTTTAGGCTGTCCTGGCCTGTATTGATAAAAAAATGAACATTAAAAATAAAGTTTTTCAATAATTTCCTTAAAATATTTTGAAAAAAAAACATAAAATTTAAACATCAATATATTCAGTGTGTATATTTTAGCAAACCAAGAAAATTATGCAATACATACATACATACATACATATATATATATATATATATATATATATATATATATATATATATATATCACAAAGTATAAACTACTCTACATACTTTGTGCTAGACTAGAGCCAGGGGAGGATCTACCCTTTGGAATATGGGGGCAGCTACCTCGGTCAAGTGAGAATGCGATCTTATGAAAGAAATAAGAATGAATCTGGTGCTTTAGATTGTGAGATCTAAGAGTCAGGATTGCATCAAAATTAGGTGCACCAAAATGATTTGAAAATGCATCATGTCGAAATGCACCAAAATCCTTTGAAAATGCACTATCTGAAATATGAGTGCAGGATGCAATCTGAGTCGTACGATGCATCAGATCCAAAGGCTAGATTTTATTCTCATTTCTCTCCACAAGGTGCATTCTAACAGCAACCGGCCTCTATATAGATATATATTGTATATAATTGCCCCGAATAAAAAAATCTACAGGCTATCCATTGATTGCCCACCAACAAAATATCTCAACCCAAATAAATTCTAGCCCAAACCAATTATTTGGCTAAAAACCCAATCCCAAAAAGTGGTCCAATTGTCCAAGTTCTCAAAATAAAAATTAGTCCCCTTAAAATATATCCAATTCCCCTTTCCCACTTTCCCGCTTTGTAGAATCTCAGAATTGCATAGCAGTATCAGCGTATTGCATTAAGGGCCTGTTTGGGAATAGTGCTAGAGATTAGCATTAGCGTTTTGGATAAAATTTTAACGGTGCAGATCACTTTGAAAATGCTAACGCTAAACGCTGCCCGTAGATAGCTTTTTCAAAACGCTAACGCTGTTCCCAAACAGGCACTAAAACACGGGAGCAGAGTAGCAGACAGCTTCGAATTCTTCTAATCTTCTATCCCACATTCCCACACAAGAGCGCCACAACTTCAAATCCTTCTATCGCACAATCAGAGAATTGCACAAGCACAAATTCCAGGAATTTCCAAATAATCTTTTTCCTTCTTAAATTATGATATAAATAATTAGATAAATCTAAAAATTAGAATTATGTATAATGTGTTAAATTTTTTGGATAATTTGTTTTTATTTTTTTAATTTTCAATAAAACAAAATTGTTTATTATTTTGATTATTATTAATTATAATAATTAATAATAACAAAATTGTTCTAATTTTTTCTAATTTGTTACTTGAATAACTTGTTCTAATTTTTGGTCATAGATTTAGTAAAAAAAAATTATTTCATTTTATATTTTTAGACAATGGAGAAGTTTTTTAAACGGAAAACCTCCTCAACACCTGATTCTGGACCATCTATACCTTCACTAGCTAAAAAATAGATTTAAATTATCTTCAGTGGAATCCTTCAGAAAGAAAAAATATTTTAGAGTATCATTCTAATCAAAGAGATAAAATAAGAAGAAAATATTTGATTAACATGCAGTGTGAAAACAGACCAAGCATATTGTTTGTATTATTACCTTTTTAGAGATCAATTTCGAAGATAGGGTGGGAGTGATCATTTGTTGTGTAAGGTTTTAATAGTTTGAATAAGACAGAAAGATTTTCAAGTCATGTGAGTGATGTGAGCAGTTTCCATAACAAAGCACTTGAGAAATGTGAAGCTCTTGTGAAACAAAATCAATCTATACATGTTGCTTTTCATAAGAAAAGTAATTTGGTGAAGAATGAATACCAAATTAGGTTGAATTCTTTGATTGATGCTTGTAGATTTTTGCTAAAGTGCGCATTACCATTTCGTAGTCATGATGAGTCCGAAAATTTGATCTTTAAAGGGAATTTTTTAGAAACTATTTAGTTAATTCGAGAGCAAAATGAGTCCGTTCGCAAAGTTACATTATCAAATGCACCAGAGAACAACCAAATGGTGGCTCCGAGTACTCAAAAAGATATTTCCAATTGCGGAACTGATGTTAATTCTTTTCAACTATGGTTGGAATTTATTACATTTAGATAAGTATTTACCATTTTTGGACCAGAAATATAATTTAACAAAAAAAGTTCTAGAAGCGACACCAAAACTGGTACTGAAACTAAAATCGCTGGTTCCGGAATCGGAACTGGAACTACTGGTACCGATGATGGTCCCTCCCTTAGAGTTTATTATACCAATACAACATGTGATTTTCTAAATGTGCATCGTAACCTCCTATAGTTTTAAAACTTAAATCATTGCCCCATGTGGTTTTAATATTTCTACGTCAATGCTTCTCTAGACTAAAATACTCTTCAAATATTAAATAAATAGCATCGTTGTCCCCAATAATTTTTGAAATGGGCACCAACACCCCATGTACTTTTTTACTTGATTATTTTTTTCTTCCTTATATATTTTCATCAATATTATTGAAAATCTTTTTTAAATTTTTTTCATAAATGTTTTAAAGTTCTTTTTTAAAATTATTTTTATGCTACATAAAGATTTAATAATAAAAAAATGTTGTATTTGAAATAAAAAATTTATTAAAATAAAAATAATTAACATACACTTCATTCGTCTCGAATTAAAGAATTTTATATTATCCAAAAGAGATTCTTATTTGTTCATTTTCATGATACAAAAACCAATGAAAAACTTTCACTTTTTTTACAATGAATCTTATTTCAAATTTTCTAGTTTTTAATCATTTTCTCTTCTTGATTTAAAAAATAATAATTTATAAAATTTCTTTTATTTAAATAAAAATTAAAGTAAAAAGAAAAAAAGAGAGTAAATTGAAGAAGAAGAAAAGTATATGAAAAATACTTTTGTAGAATAGGAAAATTCAGTTATGTAGAAAAGTCGTTACGCATCTATTCAAAAAATATTATGATTATATAATTTAATAAATATTAAAAAGACTTTACTTTGAATTCTTTTGGTCCCAACATATTCAAAAAAATAATAATAACTTTCTTAGAAAAAATGAAAATATTTAAAACACCAACAATTTTTATTTTTTAAAACATTTTCAAAAATATTTTTTTTCAAAACTATGTTTTTGAAATAATAAAAAAGAGCGGGCGTTGGTCATCCATTCAAAAATCATAGGGGACAATGAAACTATTCATTTAATATTTGAAGGCTATTTTAGTCAAGAGGGGCACTGACGTACAAAATTTGGAATCACATGGGGCAACGACATAAGTTTTGAAACCATAAGAGCGAACGATGCACATTTTTCAAATTGCAGAGGGTATTGGTGCAATAAACTCTCATCCCTTAGATGGTTCTTGAACCAGACTTGGCCCGCATTGGTCTAATGTCCATCATTGGCCCTTAGTGTCAAAATTACCCAATCGTACTTTAATAATAGCGAGACATAAGAATACTTTAATATTTATTTTTTGGTAAAAATGTAAAAATATTTGTTTTTTATAAAACATTTTCTCCCCCCCCCCCCAAAAAAAAGTTTACTTCTCAATTACTATTCGTATTGATGGGTATATTAGGCCAGGGGTAAATTTTAATATAATTTGTCCAATATATTTATCCGAGTCATTAGGCCTCGCAATTGGAGCCCAATACCCAAATGCAACTCGATCATGAGTCGATTGGCGGGTCGCGACCCTTGGGCCTTGAAGTTTATTTAATGGGTTGGAGCCGTTTAGGCTAAGATAAAATATTTGGAAATAGGTTAATCTCGTTTCCTAAAGAGGCCTACTTATATTAGAAAGCTTAAGATCAACGGAGGGCATAGGGGAAAAGCTAGACTCTCAGTGACACTGTGAGGAGATCGAGTAGTTTCCATAGATAATTTTTAATTCTAAGATATTATGTCTATGATTCTTGCTTATATAAAAACAATTTCATAATTAACCCTTTGTTGACTATATATACGCAGAAAAGCATATTTGAATCTAAAAGATTGATTATTTCGAATATATAGAATGACAACCATAATATTTGAGGTTTATATGTGAAAATCATTTTATCATGAAAGATTATTTATGCAACCTACTCTAGATTTTATCTAATTAAAATCAAACAAAACAAACAGAAGAGATGATGTCGAACAAAAAATGTGAAACGGCTAAAGTGACGTGTAATCTAGTCTGGCTGGAATACTTACTAAAAACACGTGAAATAGAAAAAGCGAGGTTTTTACTTGTTGGATGACTTGGATCCATCTAGATCTAGTTTGCACCCAGGCCGGGTCTAATAATTCGGGCATGAAATCGGGTCTCCAAAAACGGACCAAGCCCGCTTGTATATATACCCGAATCCCACGCCCCCAAGCACAAGCATTCTTGATCATCCATCGATCTTCACTTCTCTCTTTCAACAAACCCTTTCGATTCGAGGTAAGAAACCCATCTCTCTGTTCTTCGAACAAATTAATCTGTTTGAAATCTCAACTTTTTTCTGCCAATCTTTAATCCCATTCTCATGTAAATTTCACATGAAATTAGCTTATCTGTATACCAATCTCATTCATACCCTTTACGTTTATGTAAATTTCATAAGAACTATCACTCGAATTTGTTTTTCCTTTCTGTTTCCCAGACATTTTAAGAAAAAAAAATCGTTTTTTTCCTTGGAAATTTCTCCATTTTCCCACCCAATTTCTGTTCTTTCTTTGTTCCAGTTTATGGTTCTAAATGTGCAGTTTTTTAGCCGTTAATTTGTGTGCAGAGATGCAAGAAGATCAGAAGGATGCTGCAGGGCTGCCCCCAGAGGAAAATTCAGTTCAGAAGTCGCGGAAAAAGAAGGGGACAGGACAGAGGACTTCTTCTCAAGGGGAGAGTTTGAAGAAGAAGAAGAAGAGAGCAGGGCAGAAGGGATCTGTCACAAAGGGGCAGGCCATGGACGAGGAGTACCGTGCGCTGAGGAGGAAGTACCTGATGCTTGAAGAGGAGAGTTTCGCGCTCCGGAAGGAGCTGATGGAAGTTGAGAATGAAGTGAAGGCACTCGAAGACGAGAAGTTTGAACTGCTGGATGAGCTCGTTGTGCTAGAAGGCCTTCTCCATGCTGCTGAGATTCGATCCAAGGGACTGTTCTAGAGGACTGTGATCTGGTTTTCGCTGCCTGTTTCGATACTGAACAAATGTTACTCTCTTTATAATAACGTGAAAATCGTTGTTCGTTCGTGTGGTTTACTTGTGTTTTGATCCCTCTGAAGCTGGTTCATGTGAATGTAGTAGTGTGGGGTTTCATTGTTTGTGCCAAATGTCATTTCAAGCTTCATGACTACTTGTGCTATCTTTCAGCAATCTAACCCATAGAGATGGCTTCTTGGCCAGCATCAAGTCATCTGCCTCAATAGACATGGTAGTCTTTTCCAGGTCTATGGAGAAGCCTTTCTCACCTTGCCTCCACTGCCAACAGAGCTAAATGAGTCTTTTTTTTTGGCAAATCTTTCACTTAGGACATATACAACAACATACAACAACAATTCAGTAAAGTCATAGGGTTTGGAGAGTGTGTGTGTGTGTATGCAAGAACTTGCACTCTGTCGAAAATGGAAACAATTTTCAAGCTACTCCTAGTTATAGCACAGTTAAACTAAACTAAGAAGAAGGCACAAAAGTATGACCAAGGTGAGAACAAAGTAGAAGCAAAGAGTAACTAGTAAACTACAGTAAAGAAAGCACACAAAGACAAAAAAAAAGCACACTAAAAATCAAAACAATGCCCCTTCTTCATGCTTTCTAGTTTCTACACTGGCGCATCAAAGATGCAATGAAATATGAGTATTATATGATGCACTACATCTCTGAGGGTCCCTCAGGGTCCTGACCCAAACAGTATACCTGAGACGAGATAAATAGAGGTAATGAAATTCTGATTACAAGTGAGTAATTAGGAATGCGATCTGTTGTCTCAGCAAAGAATATTTGTGTATTATATATATCATCTCACACTTGTCTTTGCTAGGAGTCGAATCCAGCCATTACACCCATTCGCACCACCTATTGATCACTTGAACAATGCTACCAGGCTTACGTATCTAAATTCCAACCATGTGAGTAGAATGCTTCTAATCAAACCATTCAAACGTATATTGTCTTCAATCCCATTACACATCCTTGCTGCCCAAGAACTTCCAAGAGTACGTCATTATCAGTGTCCTCATAAATAGAAATCTTTCTGACTTCTATTGGTGGGGTATAAAGAGGGACACAAAAACAAAAAAAAAATCTGGAAGTTAGAAAGATTTCTATTTATGACATTTTTGCCCTACTTATTTGACCTAACAAAATAAGACTATTATTCAAGCGGGACACCAAAAAAAGGCTATTATTCCTTTCACCAATATATATATATTTTCTATATATATGCTCCTCCTTCCATTCTATAAAATTCTTCCTCTTTCGTTTTTTTCCAAATCCCTAAAACACTTCCACTTTCTATTAAAAAAACCACTTTTACTCCTATTTTTTCGTACCCTATCTATCACATCATATTTTTTCACTAATAACCAAACTATCATATCTTATTTTTATCCATCACATTAGGGGCAAATTGAAAAGTCAACCAAAATTATATTTTCCTTATTTAGCCCCAAAGTCAAAATAGGAAGTGTTTAAAGGAACGGAGGGGGGTATATAATAGTCTTTTTTTGCCCTAGATATTTATAAAACTGGGCTAGATCTTTTGATATAGTTTTATAATATGTAATTTTTATTTTAAAATTTTGAGCAAATTTCATAAAAGTTCCCCATTTATAGGTCGTTTTACATATTTAGTCCCTATATATCAAATATTACTAATTTAGTCCCCATTTATTATATCATTTTTCACGAATGATCCTTTGTTGACATTTTTGTTAAGAAGAGGGATAAAATTGTTTACTCATATTTCTCTTTCTCTTCAATTAAGCTTCCTCCCTCCTCTCGTACTCTTTCCCAAACTCGTCGCTGAGTTTGAAGCTCTATAAACTAAAATTGAAATGATCATTTCTCTCTCAATTATTAGTCTTCCTAGTGGAACCTAAAATCAAAATCAATAAGATTTATGGATGAGTTTTATCGGTTAGTTTCAAGAAAATGCAAAGAAAATAAACATTAAAACTCCTCCATGAAGGTTACTTGTTTTGAATTTGGGTTCCACCAGTCAGACAAACAATTGAGAGAAAAGTGATGATTTTGGTTTTGGGTTCAAACCTTCAAACTCAGCGACGGGTTTGGGAAAGGAGTGCGAGGGGAGGGAGGAAGCTTAATTGAGGAGAGAAAAGAATGTGAATTCACAATTTTATCCACGTTTTTAACAGAAATGTTAACAAAGAACCATTCGTGGAAATGAATATAATAATTGGGGACTAAAGTAGTATTTGAAATGCAGGGACTAAATATGTAAAACGACATATAACTGGGGACCTTTTATGGAATATACTCTTAAATTTTACACCATTTTTCATATAAAATGATTTGAATCTAGCCGGCCAGTTATTTGACCTAGTCCATTAGTCTAAATGATAGAGAGATAGAAAGAGGCAATGGAGGTCGTTGCAGATCTGGAAGCTGCTGCAGACCACGACAAATAATCGGCGAGAAAGATAAGTCTTCTCTCTATCTCGCATGTTCCCTTGTGCTTCTAAAATGGAGACGCGAATCCGAGATGGAGACACAGTCACTGACGTTTTCATACAACACAGTTGCCCATGGAAAAAAAGCTAGGTGACCAATTTGGCGTCCACAAACCCTCGCCCAGACGCCTAAGCGTCGCTTACGATAATTCCTATTTCCAAATGATAAACAACATAAGCAAGTCAACATTTCACAAGACTTCGCTTACGATAAACCCTTTATGTGTTGTGCGGAGAGTAGTGTGATTATTGGGCCATGGATTCTGATGCTTCTTTTCGTGTTACCCGCTGTAGTGAAATATTGCAAAATCTGGTTATTGATGACTTTGAAAAGATAAGACTTACTTTGGAAAGGTAAGACTTACAAACGATAGATCTCTTAATGTTACGGGTATGGATGACATAGTGTTAAAAATACCACCTGGTTTCTTGATTTTGAAGGATGCCAGAGTTGTTCCAAATTTGAGGAAGAGATTGATTTCTATGATGAACAAGAACATAATGTGAAGTTTGGAAACAGGCAATGGAAGGTCAGAACAGAAAAATCTTGTCATCGCCCATAATAGAAAAAGAGATTCACTTATATTAATCTGAATGGATCTGTTTTGATTTTATTTTAATAAGAATAAAAAAAATAGAAAAATAAGTTAAAGAGAATGCAAGGCTGGTGATGAGAACGAGGTAACCATCTTGGACAAAGTAAGTTGTATAATGAATGATCAAATTGGTGCGAAGTCTTTTCCTTTTTGTTTTTGAATTTGGCTCTCTTTGGCATTGGTTCAAGTATTTAGTTTCATCGTTTTGGAAATTTTATCCAAAGAGCTTTTAATATACTACATGGGTGTTTTCACAGTGAATCAACATCTTTAATTAAAAATCTCCTAAAATGCTAACTCTAATCACATATGTTGCTTCCAAACGAAGCTCTTATAGTGTATGAAAAATCTGGAAAGGAACTAAGTATAAAGACCCATTTCTAGAATATACTCCCTCGTTCGAATTTCTTCGATATTAGTTGTGTATTTTTCATATTCAATAAATACTTATAATGAATTGTCAAAAAATCTAAATATAGGGTATGATGTATGAAAACTATTGACATGAATGAGTATTATTTGACATTTTCAATTCATTTCATAAAAATACTTTTTTTTGGGAAAAAAAATACTTTTTTCCAATCACACCCATTCTTCTTCCTCTTTAGGGGAAAAAATGAAAACACTAAGACAAAATCCACATGTAAACAGTAGCCCATAGAGTAACTGCAAAGGAAGCCACAGAGTAATTCCACAGCATTAACACTGAACATTCAGTCTCCCCAACTTCAAACAACTGAGTGATGGTTCCTGTCAATCCACCAATACACATCTCATTTCTTGCATTTTCTAAACCAAAGCACCATTTACTTCAATTCAAACAAAAGCACTAATCAAAGACTGAGGAATGCCATGGAGGAGTAAAAGAGATGTTCTTTGTTTGTTTTTTTTACCTATACCCATGGCAGAAGGAAGTGCATATTGCAGAAGAAGAACAAAGTGATAGAGAGAATGTGATCCCAACAGACCGAAATGGATAGCGAATTTGATAATGGCAATGCCGCAAAGAGGGAGCAGAATGAATCTGATCACCTGAACCCCAACCACAACCCAAACCCCAATCGTTTGTTTCTTGAGCCCTGCAAAAACACACGCGCGACATTCGCATTAACCAAGTTTGGCTGATCTAAGAGTGTGACAGGTAGAAGTGAAAACAACCTCTAAGAAGATTTGCTCCAACTACAAGCGTCACTGCGGGTATTGCAGCATCTCTGCAAATAAATATAAACCTCTCAGGTTAGGCCTCTAACGCAGTTACCGTTTACAGTACAACCTCAAGTCATCATACCCTAACATTGCAGCTGAGCTATCAATGACATGAAGCGGAGCATTATCAACGATTATCAGCTTTCGTAACACGGATACTACTCCTATTGTAATTCCAACAATCTGAAATTCGTGCAAAAAAACGAATAAGTGAAGTTCCATTGTATTGCAATGATGTCTATAACAACTGATATAAGCTTAGTTTAGTCTGAGAAGAATGTGACCATACCGTTGCAATGGTGGAGGGTGCAAACATCATTTTCAGGTTGATCATCTCTTCCCACAGTTTCATTTTTTGCTTGACCCTCGTCCATACGGACGATTGTTGCAGAGAAGGCTAATTATGATGACCATATTCATTATTCATGAATTAAATAGTTGGCAGAAATGAATGAAAGAACTATATTAATAACTCCGTATGTTGTTGTATGTAGGGAGAAAGAATGTTGACCTCTTGTTTATCGTCGCATACTACTATTACAGCTTCTTCATCTTGATCATATTTTAAGCTGTGGCTTGAAAGCAGAGCTTCTCTGCAGCTGTCTAAGAAGCCAGAACCCAATTTGTCTGCACTAGAATCTCTTCGCGGCGTTCCATAAGCCCGAATTATGTTAAATATGTATGTCCATATGTAAACAGCTCCTATCTACATTCATTTGTAAAACCAATATATATATCCTCTCTACTCTAGTCTCATTGATAATATTATTAACCAAGTAAAATTTTCATGTGCTTACCGCCATTGAAAGTGAGGCATAAGCTCTTCCATGGGTAGAGCAAGTCGAAGTATCTCCAAATGGGCTGTTTTTCTCCTCACACACAGCTGGTATTATGATGAGAAGCAAATTTCCCACATTCCCTATACACGATCAAATTCTCCAACACGTGTTAAAGAACTGTTTCGTTTATATTAAGCCGGTGTGGAATAAATACAACAAAAACCAGACTGATCAGATTGCATACCTGCAGCACAGCAGCTGATGACAAGACCATGTAGTTCTCGAGAAGTTCCCGTGACCTTAACAAGGACCCAACCCAGCACCGATCCAATGATGAATGTGAGAAGTATGTTTACAGGCATAAACCATCTTCACATAAAGAACAAAAAAACAATGCATCAGCAGATCAGAAGAGATTTTAAAAGACAACTGATGAAATGGGAGGTAAGAAAAGAGAGTTATGAATTATGATTGGAACACACAGTGTGACAATGCTGTCTGCTGTTACAGTCTCAGCAAGGCTGCTGGCGATAAGCGCCGGGGTGAAGACATAAAACACAAGCTGCAACCAAAACACAAAAAAACCAGGATTAACCAGGAAACCCCAGGCTAGAAACAGAAAAAAGATTTGATTTTTACATTGTTCAGATTGTGCCTGGCAGTGGCGCCCAAGATATCAACCCGCTCCAGAGCAAGAAACAGACCAATGGCGGTGATGGCCAGGGTTTTAAGAACAGGCATCAGCGCCACCACAAACAGATCAAGAAACCCCATCAAGACTCCGTCTTTTTGCCTCCCCAACACCCAAGATTCTGCAAATTTTGAAGGGTTATACTTATATTTCTAACTTGTTCCCCTTTTTCTTTTGAAATCCTAGCTAACATATGAGAGTAAATTACCAGAAAAAAGACTGTATTTGGAGACAAAGAAATCGGCGTCACTTCTCAAAACATCCTCCTTTTCCACGTTGTTGAAGGGAGAGTATATGTTTATGTTTAAGACAGCTCAGAATATGGTGCAGCCTGACATATTCTCTGCTGTAAAGTTTTCAATTTTTTCAATAAAGAACTGTACGGAGTGAAAGAAATGGAAGAGAAGAAAATCTCCAATGAAGATGGAGACTGGAGAAGGACTGATCCCCGCTAAAAATAGAGCTGTCAGGCAAGGTGCAGGTGGGGTTTATTTGGATTGAATATGTTCCAAGCTATGATAGATTCGTACACGCCTTTTAATTTGACATGATAGACTTGTTTGAGAATTCAAAAACAAACAAAACAAAAATAGTTAAATCTAGAATGAGATAAATTGTTTGTTTACAAATTCACAAGTGAATGACAAGTTGGTGGTGTTGTAGAAAAACTTGTTAAATCCATACACACTTGACACTTCATTTGTTGTTATTTAATGTTCACACTTGGCTTTTACATTGAGTTTGAGAAAAAAATGTGGTACTCCCTATTTAACTTTTAAAACTATAGTACTCCGTATTTCTTAGAGTATCTCCAACGATATCATTTTGGCTTATTAAAAAATTATAATATAGCAAACCAAGCTCTTTTGTTCATCTCAAAAGGGTATGCTATATTTTACCAAGCTTGATAAAAATAATTTTGGGTTGCTAAATATAACAAGTTCTTCAAATTATAGCAAGTCTATAGTTAAAAAATAAAATAGCAAGTTATCGTGGGAGAATGGAAGAAAAAATACTTATTGTATCACTATTCACTTATTATAATGTACGAATAGCAAATTCATATGACAAGTAAGGTTGAAGATGCTCTGATTACACATTAACATAAAAGTGAGGACATTTGGAAAAGTAGCATAATATTGATAGCAAATGTAATTCACATTAAAACCACAATTACACAATTTCAATACTATATTGCTATAAAAATGAATAATATTCCGTCCTTTTTTAAAACATGTTCTTTTTTGCTTTTACGTGCAAAATCTCATCTTTTTTTAAAAATGATTTAATTTAAAAATTGGTATAGAAATGAAATGTCAAACATACATATTTAAACATTACATCAAAAGTTATACAATATAAATGATGACAAGAATATTTAAATTTATCTAATAATGAATAAAAAAAGGTTATCGAGAGACCTAGAATAATAAGCAGGAAATGTTTTAAAAAAAATAGAGGGAGCCCCATAGAAGGCTCTGAGGACCATTAATTTTTTAAACTAGGCCTAGTAAGAGACTCAGGTCATGCTATAACATTCAAAGTGAATGTCACATGAACCGTGCTGAACGTAGAAACCATGTTCACAAAAATTATAATTTACTCCAAACTAGAGTATTACTCCTTCCGTTCTAATTTAAATTACCTGTTTTAATTTACAATGTTTGATTGAAGTTATTTTCAATGGAATTTATTTTAAAATTGGAGCATAATTATAAATTAAAAATACATCAAAAGCTTTACAAAATAAAAGATAACATAACTATATTATTTTATCAAATGAATAACGAAAATATAGAAAAAAATGAATAAAATTTAATTTTGTGAATAACAAAGATAGATGATACATCATTATATACTTGTGTCAATCTCATACAAAAAGATAATTATGAGACAAAAAGAGATATGTTGTATGGCAAACACTCCCAAAATCAAGATAGATGATACATCAGTATATACTTGTACGCCAACTATGCCACCCAAACATTGAATTAAGTATAGTGCATTGCCGTATTAGGACAATTAGCCAACCCCAACTTGTCTCCCACACATGTATTCTACTTTTAGTTTCTTTGGTGTTAAATTGAGGCATTAAACTATTTGTACACTAAAACTTGTACCTCATTTTGTACCCTAAAGGCATGTACCAACATTTTGTCCTAGGGTGATGATTTACATTTACAAAAAATATCTGTGTAAATTTTTTTAAATGAACTAACATTTTGTGTCAGTGTAAACCATACCATCGTTGTAAATTGAGAGACTTAAATAATTCATAGAACCAGAATTAACTACTACAGTATATATCAATCCATTTACCCACACGTAAAAAAAGATGTAATACGGAGTATAAAATATTGTACAACACAAGCAGCGAACCACTAATACACCTCATTGAGAGGATTAAAGCCTCAAAAGGTAAATTTTTAATTACCATCAAATAAATCTTTACCAAAAAACAAAAAACCTCGAGACAAACGCAAAATGAAACATTAAAGACATGAAGAAATGCATGCCTGATTTAGATCATACAAATGCCACCTTACGCCGAAATAAATATTGGTCTTACTTTACAATGTGCCCGTTAACCAAGTTCATGTCCATCATTTGCAACCGTAATGTTTCGTTATGCCTTTGTGTCTTTGGCTTTGAAAATTCTTTTTACCTTATGGATTCACTCGAAACACTGATTCTGGAAGACTCTCATGATGTTACCATAGATGCCAAGTCCAATTCTTCGTCCGAATCGATAACATCTTCAAAATCATAGAATGGGTTTGCCTGAAACCATAATTATGAACTAAACCATCAATACTTTTTTTCATTAAAAAACAAATCACTTTATGCGTGTATATTGTGTGTTATGTCTTTCACCTTTGGTCTCGGAGTTATTGCATCAAAACTGCAGAAAACTGGAGAGTCGAAATGAGGAGGTTCTAATACAACGTACGCCCCTTTATTTCTGTACCTATCTTCTGTAGCCTGCAAGGTAGATATGGAGCAAAAAAAATCGTAATGTGGGTCGGTTTGGTTTGGATAAACAGAAATAGTGGTATGGGTTGGTTTGTATATTAGCTAAACCGCAATAAATAAAAACAAAACAAAACCAACTCTCAACTCATGCCCACCCCTAATTTTGGTAAAGCTTGGGTTGGGAAAAAATGAAGAGCATACCTGAAACTGTGGGTAATCTGGTGCACTAAACAATGTGATCAGTTTCCCAGATTCCACAACATGATCTACAGTGTACCCTTCTTCCATTCCTCCAAGACCAGATCGCTTTTCTCTTGCATCGGGACCTTCATGTGATCTGATGATCAACTGGAATAGAATTCAATCAAAAATCTAAAGTTAGCATTTAACTCTATAATTTACAAATTACAATACCTTCAAATGCCAGCCCAACGGTTATTATAAGTACAGAGGATCATCAAAAATGCATTCTAAGTGAATTACTGTGAGCAAACTGCCGGGCTGAGTATAAAAAAAGAGGGAATAGGCATAAATGATTGAAAGAAACTTCATAATGGGATTTGGATCATTGAGAAAATCCATCATGCGTAAAAAGCCATAAGATGCAGAACTAACGAGTCAGACAAGTCTAAATAAAACATGAAAATCTATAAGGTAGAAGAAAATAGCAACAAGTAGTCAAGTAGAAATCTTTATGCAATGATGAAAATATGAAATCACACGTCAGGCAGATTGAGTAAACCTCTAAGGCATAACTTCTCTAAGGGACAGAGAGGAAAAGATAAATATTTACCTTGAAGTTGTTCTTCCTTAAGAACTCTTCTGTCATATCTGGACCCCATAAAAGACCGATTCCTCTTTCCTTGTTTGGGGAAAGACCGTTGGTCATGGACGGGTCAGACCACAAGACATCACCTGGGATCAAATTAGAACCTTCCCAAGGGGGATCAAGGACGGATCTCCTAGCTTTAGAAAGCTCCTCAAAGGAGCCAAGGGATAAAACACTCGTATCAGGGATGAGATTTATTCTACGACTCTTCTTCCCTTTACCTCTTTTAGATGGAGTAACAACACTGGCGCGAAAAACACCCCCGTGTGCAGTATAAACACGACCTGCAATGACAGATGCAAGAGGCAATCCTTCAAAACAACCCAAACACTTTCTGTAGACATGTTTACCCCTGTCCCCATACTTTGTGAGGACCTCCTTCTCAAAGCCATAAACAGAAGTACAGTACTTGGATTCATGATTTCCACGAAGTAAGTACACTCTCCGTGGCATAAGAACCTAGAAAAATGCGCTGCATTAATAACTCTAACAGAAGTATTGACATTACGTGGCTGAAGAGTATGACATGCCTGCAAAATTGAACAATTGCTTTCCATAACCCAACTGGGCTTTCCACATAATGCCCAGAAAGTGAAGAGCTAAATTCAGATGGACTGGGAAAATAAATTCTATCTATGACCTCAACCACTCACATACCAAATATCTTTATCAAAAATCGGTTATTTATATATTTTCAAATGATTCCACAAGGATCTGATATTCTTGTGCATTCAAAAGGATTAGATGACTTTTAAACTGTATTGATATTGTAGGCTCCCCTTCATAAAAGAACAATAAGAACATAAGTAACAGAGGACAATGACAGTTTTGGTCACTCAATTGTTCCAATGATGTTGAGTCACTTCCGGAGCAATACGAGTTTTGAAATTCCACTATGAACTGTGATCAAGGGAATTTAACCCATTTGGTTAAAGATAACAATGACACTTTTGGTCCCTCAGCCCAAACTAAGTGGAAATCATTCTTCTAATGAGGGTACCTTTGCTGCTTTCTAAGCTGACCAATCTCGCCAAAAATAAAAATGCAGCTTTTAAAATATATATATATTTTTAAATAAATAAAAAAAACAATCTTGGAAGTAATTTAGCATTCAATATTTTGCGTTTAGGTATTCTAATTTTGCAGGAAACCCATCCAGATTCAAAGTATTGAGATGAAATCCAGTTTACAGGTTAAGCGCATGACATTAATTGGAGTTGAATGGAAGAAATGGGCACGCATCATCTTCCCCTTTCAGCACATTTTGCCTCCAATAAATCTCAAGAAAGCCTTTGCAGAATGTGTTTTAATGAATTACCTTCCAAGCCAGCAAGAGAAGAAAGGTCTCAAGACCCCATGCTCCTCTATCCACATAGTCCCCATTGAACACAAAGAAGCGATCCTCGCCCGGAAACCCTGCATCCCTCAACAAGAAAAGCACGTCGTGCAGCTGCCCGTGAACATCCCCTACCACGACAACCCGAGACTCCGGACCCAGACCCGACCCGTCATCGATCCTGACACAATTGGGCTCTTTATGCAAGATCTTGGAAGCTGTCAGGACAAGCCGGTCGAAGGCCTCGACGGGCAGAACGGTGGGGAGATCTGCGGGGGGAAGATTTCTAGACGCCCAATCAAAGGCGAGCATGAGGTCCGTCACCCATGCTAAAGTTAGGGTTCCGTCTACCGGCCACGAAATAGGGATCTGCGGGGCTATGCTTGAGGGAGAAGGGGAGGGAGTCAGGCAATGTTTCTCCTCTTCCGATGAGGAGGAGGTGGAAGCTACGGAGGCTGACGAGAAGAAGTCTTCATCCGAGGACGGCGGCTGTGGAGTCAAAGACGGCGCCGGATGAAGCGCCGGCGGCGGGAGCATTGACGGTGTTTCTTGGAGCATGGATTGGTCACCACTATGAACCGGAGTAGGAGTATTTTGCTTCTAAATTATGTTTGGTCCGGGCCAGATGACATTGCTCTTACTAGTGGTGGGTGGGCAAACGTCTTGGAACAGCAGCACGGTTCCGGGCGAGTTAGAGGTGGGTGGGTCTAAAATTTTACTCCTTATTTTCTAAAATAAGTCGGGCCAATTCTTAATATTTAGAAACAAGTATGATTTAATTAAATTATAAATTTATAATTGAAAGTATTAAATAAATTAAAGTATGTTCAATATTACATTTTCATCTTTTCATCAAATTCTATTAATAAATAAGTTCTATATGATATATTCAATATTCTACTAATAAAATTATATATATACAACATAATTAGTAAAAGTTTAGTCTGCAGTCACTTTTTTTCTTATGGTTGAATATTATAATTTATTTTTATTTCGTTTATAAATATCATGGATTCAAAAAGTTTATTGTTCTATTGACTATTCTCATTTATTTTGTTTATTTATTTTTGATGTACTTTGAAATTTTAATATAATAGAAAAAAACTCACAGACTCGCGGACGCACAAAACCAAACCGTTTGAAACAAGTGTGGTTTTAGGGTTGGTTCTAAATATATTTTTCAGCAACCCGACGTGTCTCGGCTTGTTTATTCTAAAAACAAGTCGGGGTCGGGTGCTATGAAAATCGGCACGTGTCCACCCCTAGCTCCTACAATAGTGAAGAAATTGTAGGCCCGATTTTCGATAGGTCTAAAGACAGTATAGTCCGGTCTGATCTCGGTTTCATGAAAGGAAGAAGATGTTCGACTAATTGAGGGAAATTAAAACATGAGGCATCTTTTGATACGAAAATGGTACATGCTAACGTTAAGATGCACGGTATGGATACGGTAAAATCAATTTGGTATCAAAACAAACTATAGTGACATTTTAGCAAAAATGGTAACACTGATCCTTACCATTTGGTACCAAAAAAAAAACAATCGGTAAAGCAGTCTAACGACTTGCCTATAATATAGGACAAGCTATCTCTTCATTTAACGACCGTTTACAATTAATAATTACAACTTTTAAACTTATTTAAATCACTTCCATTCTTTTTAAACCTAATTACTCTCTCAAAAAATCTAATTTTTACTCTTTCTAAAAAATGGATCTTTTTCAACTACTATCAAGTTCATCAAGTTCTGAAGATAATTACAAATTAGTGATGAATCATCGTAACCTTGCTACTCGTGTTACCGTTATTCAAAGAAGTTTAACTGAGGTTCGAGATACGATGCATTCTACAAGAATTTATACAACAAAAGATTGAGAGGGTGCACAACATCTCAGAAAAGGTTTTTAGAATCGGTGATTGTACAAAATAAAAGGTGATAAGATTATGTGTTGTTTCTCTGTGCTTATAAGCTGGTCAAAACTATTTATAAGCTGATTTTAACTTATAAGTCAACTTATGACATGTTTTTATGTGCTTATAATAAACACACTTATAAGTTGCTTATAAGCTTGAAAAAATAAGTATATCTTAGCTACTCATTTTTAAATCTGTTTTTTCATTTCTCTGTTTTGACCCGTTTATTTACAAAATTATTCATCACCATTTATGAATATTTATGAATGATTTATCCATCATTTAAGTCATTATGTTTCCACAAAAGAATATTTGACTTCTAAGCAACTTATAAGGTAAAAACTGTTTATCAACAATAAGCTAATAAACACTAGCACAAAGAAATACTCCCTACATTATTTTCTCAAATGGGTCAAAAACATGGTTCAAATTTGGTTTTATGAATAGTAACCATGTAATTTAAATTAGGACGGAGTACTTGAAAAACTATTTTTCAAACATGGTCATATATATGTGAAAAATGCTAGGGGTACACCAAATGTGTATCCCATTTGTCCCCCCCACACCCTCCTTGTCCACATAATTGGGTAAGAAAATCAAAAATAAATAAATTAATAAAAATCAAATAAAAATGAATGATTGAGAAGGGGGTGGTGTACATTTGGGGTACACCTTTATCTTAGCTACCATATTTTTATCATTTGAAAGGCAAAAATTATTAAAATGTCAATAGTATTAAAATGTACTTTTATGATTGCAGAAACAAAAAAAAGAAGAAGAACACACTCACAAATACTTCCTCCGTCCCACTATATTTGTCCACTTTCATTTTTGCACACCATCCAATACACTTCTTTAATCCATTTTATCTTGTAATTTGTATATTAAAAAATTATAGAAATTATATATTAATAATCTATATGTTAAGACAAATCAAACAAGATCACACATGACTATATTTAGGCTTACACATTGAGAGAATTTGATGAGCCAAAGTGCTTATATGAACAGTTCCAAAAGTCAAAATTGGACGAATATAGCGGGACCGAGGGAGTACAAGATTACATTATTTTAAAAAAATTTAACTTTTTCTTCCATCCTTGGATCTATTCTATGACTAGAATATCTGACTCACCTATTTAACTTTTCACTTGTTTTTAATTTTTACCGTGGAAAAATGAGGTAAATTTCACCAATAGTACCTGAACTTTAGCTGGAATATCGAAGTAGTACCTAAACTTCAAATCCTTTCACAAAAATCCCTGAACTTACACAATCCTTTCACTAATGAGCCATTAGCCCGTTTCTAAGTTAACTTCCGGTCATTAGGGCCAAATTCGAATTTTATATATTTTAAAATTTTCAATTTGACCCCATTTCTTCTTTTCTTTTCTTCCAGGCCCCGCCGCCGCCGCCCGCCGGTCAAAGTCGCCGGAAAATGAACTTTTTCCGATTCCGGCGGGACCAATGTCATTCTCTTCGTCCTGAGACGAGGATCAATAATATCCAAACCATTTTGTCTAATTTTGTCTGTAACTTCTCGAATCTGAATTTTTCTACTCGAAAAAATCCTAAAATCGAAATTGTGTCCAAAATGGGGGGTTTTGCAAATCGTCATCAAATCTTGCAATTGAGGGGTCCTTGGAGGTCGCCCGGATGTCACGACCGCATTAGAGTTGGTGCCCGCCGTCAATTTTGCCGGAGTTGGCCGGAAAACGCTCCGACCCGCCGGCACATGAGTAGAATTTTACCTTTTTATTTGAAAAAATATTTGTTTAATTATCCAGTGTGAAAAACTGCACAACACATGAGCTCCCAAAATTAACACATGAGCTCCCAAAATTATAAGATAAATTTTAAAATATCGTTTTTAGTGGATCACTATATGATAATGTAGTAAACTTTCACACTATCAATTGAAAGAATATTGTTAACCTTTCACACTATGTTCAAATTATTATATCCATGAAAAAGTAAATTTTGAGATTGATTTTTTTTTTCTTCTAAAGGAAATGGTATATACAGGCTATGCATTAACCGACCATATACCTATGACGGCTATGACCGAGCTAAAACTCTAAAAGTCACGTACTCTTCTTTAATTTTCCCCTTTTAATTAAGTGGATGGGACTCAAAATTAGCTAGTCCAATTGGTAGTTTACTTACTCTCGTCCCGCTTAAAAAATTATCACAATTTGACTTTTTTTTATTAAATTATGACATTCTTTGATCATGAATTAAATATAGTTTAAATGATTAAATATTTTAAAAATTTGATATTTGAAAATTGTATTTTAAAATACGGAGTAAACCCAAATTCACTAAGGGGCTGTTTGGTAACTTCTGAATAGATAAGTGCTGAACCAGTAAGAGGTCTGATCTGAACCATTAAGTGCTGAACCAGTAAGAGGTCTGAACCATTAAGAACTAGTATATTGCTTAACTATTCAGAGGTAAATGTCTGATCAATTCAGATAAGAGGTCTTAACCATTCAAACTCTGTATAATACTTAACCATTCAGAGGCAAATCTCTTAACCATTCAGACATCTAGACCATTAAGAGGCTGAAACAAACAGTCTGAACCATTAAGTGCTGAACCATTCAGACATCTGAACCATTAAGAGGCTGAAACAAACAACCCCTAACTTTACATTATAAATAAGTATAATTTTCCCACAATTCATGGTCAAAGGGTGCTACAATTTGACCAAAAAAATCAAATTGTGACAATCTTTTAAAACAGAGTGAGTAATTTTTTTTCTTTCTTATATAAAAGTCACCATTCTTTAGTTCTTTTTCCAATAAAAAAATTTCTCTGAATAAGAATAAAAAATATAAAAATATCAAAATATGAGCCTTAAGTCTTTTAAAACCAAAATAAGAGTATAATGCTAGTGTAGTGTAAAAGTACGCGTTGGCAGTTTGATGAAAAAGTGATAACAATGTAATATGTTAGTGTGATCTATCAATCGTTGGCGACCCACGGTGGCATTTTGGTGGCCGACGGTGACGGACGGCAGGTTGGCAGTGATAGTATGACAATTACGGAGTATAAATGTAACAATGTAGTGTGTGTAACAGTATAATAATGATTGTGTGAACTTCTATTTTTATCTTAAAATACTTAAAACTCTTACAGTCTTGCGGAGTATTTTGGACTTTTTATCACTAAGTAATGGGAGAAGTGCGGTATATTTCTTTTTAATTTGCTCAAAATTCAAAAATAAACCTCCGCGCAAAAAAGTCAAATCCTCTCCTTCTAAGCTCTTTCTCCACCAGCTTTCCCTTCTTCCCGTCCCCCTATTTAACCGCCACCAACAAAATTTACATAACCCTTTGATTTTTATTCTTTTATTTATTTTATTTTATTTATTTTCTTTCTCTAATGGAAGAAATGAGTGTTCCTCACAACATTTACATGAGACGGGTATGTTCCGGCGGCGGCGGCGGCGGAGTTGGTTGCAGAGGTTTCCGGTTAAAACTCCGGAGGTTTTGCGTTCGACGGATCCGCACGAGGTTTGTCGTGAACCTGCTTAAGCTGTTGGGGAGGTGGAAAACCTCGTACTCCCACGCGCTCCGGTCGCTGAAGAGGCGCGTGGTGTGGATAAGTCGGACGCTGAACCGTATTTTGTACCGCCGCAGGAGTGGCAGAGCCGGCGGCGGCGATCATCTCCGCCCGATGCTGAAGTCTTACGGGCGGTCAAACTCGTTTTACTCGGAGGCGATCGCCGATTGCTTGGATTTCATCAAGAGGAATTCGGTCTCGGTAGTAGAGGGGGAGGGGGAGAAGCATGTGCTCGCAGTATAAGAAGATTTTGATTTAGGCCGTGTTTGGTTGATTTGATGGGAGAGAGTGAGTTATGTTTGCTCCAAATTCCTCCCTTTTCCTCAAATCAAACATGCCCTATTTTTTTTGTAGATGCATATATTGATTGATATATACAGGAGAGAAAGACCAAACTAGGACTAAAACATTGAAAATATACCAAAATAGGACTTCCATGTTTTTATTCTCGAAATAGGACCTACATTACCAAACATGGTCATATACATTACCAAAAAAGTATAGTAATTTGCACATGTACACTGCCACATTACCACAATGCAAAGTCACATTACCACAGTGCAAAGTCCTATTCTGGGAAAAAAACATAAAGTCTTATTTTGGTACTTTTTTCTATGTTTTAGTCCTATTTAGGATGATTTGTATATATACAGATAGTCGATTAGACATATTCAATCATTTGGTATATTGGCCATACTCCGAATTTGTTAGAAAAACTTCCTTCCTAAAAGATTGTCCGTTTGATTTTTAAGTCAAACTTTAATATTTTTTATCACGACTTATGTAAAAATTATATTTAGTTATAATGTAAATTTTAAAATTTGATTTATTTTAAAGTATTATTTTGGAATATCAAATTTTATAAAATTTATTTATCTTAAACTATGTATAAATCATGATTTTGTAGCTTCATAAAAGTGTCCTCCGTATGATATTAATGTGAACACTCGAGTGGTTTGAAGTTTGAAACTCTTTTTTATGCTTTTGAGCAATGGGAACCTTTTTTCATGCTTTTGGGAAAAGACCCAAAATGAAATATACACATATAAATAAGGATGACTCACCCAAGCGGGCTTCATGGACCCGATTAGACCATCATTGAAAGTACATAAATTAAATTTTAATTACAGATTGAAGACACAAAGTAAAATTTATACTTGGCACTTGCAGATTTCTATGATTGACATATTTGCATCTCAACGCAAGTCTCGAGAATCGAACTTGAGTCTACTACTTTCTGTGTCCCAAACGGAACCATAAAGGAATTCGATGGCAAAAATAAAAACTTTTGAACCGGTCCCCACTTCGGCACTTGCAAAAGGATCCGTAGACCGGTTTTGCATGAAAGTCCTTTAATTTTCGGTCTAAATTTTGTCGGTGCATCAGTCCAAAATTGCTCGGGTGAGGTGCAAATAACTAAAGTTTGTCGGTGAAAATGTTATTTATCCGAATTCCAATCCATTTCGGATGGATCATCCTGAATAATTGGGCCGTCCAGTTCTTAATTAGCGGGCCAGCAATAAATTTGATATTGGGCTTAGAACGACCCAATGTCTTGATTAAACCAGAGAAGTGCATCTACAATGCACAACCGAAATTCATTTTCATGTGATTCACAGAACCAGAAATCAGCTTAATTTCACTAACGGCAACGCGCCGCCGTCATCTTCCGCCGGGGCCGCCGTATCAGAGTAAATTACGTAAGGAGTCATGGAGGAATTTCCAGACGAACTCCGCACTCCGCCGATCGCTCTGGTGACTCTGGTGGGGTGTCCGGATCTGCACGCACCGATCACGGCGCACCTCCATGCGGAGCAGCCGCCGATTAACTCTCTGGCGCTACCCGAAATCTCAAAGATCTCGATACTGTCAAAGCGCGCGAAGGAAAATTCAGCCCCAGCCCAGCCAGTTGGTGGCATATTGAACAGAGATTGGCTTTCCAAGCACAGGACCAGAGTCCCTGCCGTTGTGGCCGCCATTTTTGACTCCGTTCACGTCTCCGGGGACCCGGCTCAGTGGCTTCAGGTCTGCACCGATCTTGAAAACCTCAAGTATGAATCTTTGGTCCCTCTTCTGTCTAACAGTTCTTCACCTGTGACACTGGCAATATTTGCTTCTTGGTCACCATGTGAATGTCTGTTCGCGTAAATGTGTGTGTGTCTACTAGAATATTATTTCTGTATTGGAAATGCCTGTGATGATGTGTGGATATGGACAGAGCAGCAATCCGAGGAAGGAATAGCAAATTGGTAGTGGTGGTTGTATCTCATTCCAAGAGTAAAGGCAAGTCTTTTGACTCTCTAAATTGCCTAAAACTTATGTTGGCCTCTAACTATGAAATGAGGATTCCGAAGAACTTCAAATGATTATGAGCTGCTAATGCTTTATTAAGTTTATTTACTTTCCTCTGTATACTTTTCTCTGTGTGTGTGTGTGTGGGGGGGGGGGGTGTGGGAGTGGAGCAGGGGATTGAGATTGAGGGGGTAATGTATACATAGTCATCCAGGCATATTTATTTCGTTCCTGATTGATTAATCTTGCAGTATACATCTAATGATGTTCTTTTGTGTTCACTTCTTCAGAAGTGTAATGCATGTCTGTTGATGAAATAAACAGCTTCTTGAATACACACACACACACACACTTGTTGTGCCAGGTTTACCGTATGTGTATATATATACTTACAAAGTTCCTTTTGATAGCCAATACTTCTTTTGCTCTATAATTAAGCCCATAGTTTGACTTCACAGAGTTTAAGACAATTAATGAAAAGTGGAAAGTGGCTACAATTTGAACAGAAAAAGAATTCTTTTGAGACACATATTTCTTTTTCGTAAAGGGAATGAGGGAAACATGTGAAGTTTATTTTGAAACCACAAAATAGTGTGAAGTTTATTGTGGAACAAGTGTAATTCTTTGCAGTTGATTGAAACACTCGATAATCCATCTTTTTTTCCTAGGGGTATGATAGTGAGTTCTTGTTTGACTAGATAAATAGTTGTTGAGTTTTGGCCTTTCTCATACCATACCATAATCATCGCCAGCTCTGGAGAAAGGACTGAAGCATGTTCACAAGTGGTTTTCAATCAAGATCAGTACTTCATCCATGTCATGATTCTCAAAAGTTATCATGGTTTGTATTAGATATTGAAGTGTTGCAGAATCTACACCAATTTTGTTCTTGCTCAAAAAGTCATTCAAATCGGAGTAGGAACATAATCCATAATTATGTGTGGCAAATACCAAAGCCACTAGGCAGCAACGTAGAAAACAATGGTTCCCTTGATCAACTAGTCTTAAGTGGCTATGGGGTTTGCTGCACCTAATTGTAGGTTTTGTTCCTACTCTGGTCAGGGTAACTCTTCAAGCATGAACAATATTAACTCTACTTTGGGGGCGTAAATTTCGTTGCACCTCAATGTCCCATGCAAATCATGATAATATAATCCGTTTAGAATCATACATGAGAGATGTATTGATCTTTGCTGAATACTTCTTGTGAACAGGTTCGATGAGTACTCCACTTGTGTCTCCAAAAGTCCTGATGCTCTATGGTATGGTTGTTGGTGTGCGGAGGACCTAGGATCCGATCATTCTGTATCTAGTTGAAAAACAAATCTTCTACTAGATCTTGGGAAAAGAGATGGATTATTGAGTTTTTCAATTGACCACTTGGTATTGGCTATCAAAACAAACTCCCTAAGTATACATACATAAATGCATGTGTATTCAAGAAGTTGTGTACTCCCTTTAGTTCGAAGTTTTTATGTTTAGGACTCTCATATTGTGTTGCATTATGATTAAGAAAGCACAAAGTGTGCAGAATCTCAACATGGATGCATATCCCAAATGGCCTAATCTTTATGAAGTTCATGATATTTTGTTTTTTATTTATGTATTCTTCACTTAAAGTTGTAGTGTTCTCTATGATGGTTGTTGTAAATCAATAGTGTAAGAGAATTGAATGCATGCATAATTTCTAACAGAGCACACACATTGATATTGTTAATGCTTGTCTTAACATTGATTCTCTATTTTTCTTCGATAACCATATTACTGGGCTCGGCGTTGACAACTTGATCAACTTTTACGACGCAGATGAACTTAGCGAAGATCGTATGGTTGCCTTGAGAAAGCGTGCAGAGTTGGACCCAAAACACCTTATTGTGTTTGTCCCAGATGAGCCATCAAGGCTACAACACTCCTTAAAGAGGCATGGTTTCTGTTCAGTATATATCATGATTCAATTTGCATTATTTAGTATGCAATGCTAATAATTGATGAATATATTGTAGGTTGGGAAGTACATTTGCAGAACTGGCAAATGGATACTATAAAGATGAAGGAAGAAGAATTAAAACACGTCTTGAAAGGAGAAACTATCCATCTGTAGAGTTAAATATTCGATATTGTTTCAAAGTAATCCTTCTGTTTTAATCAGATTTGATGCTGGAAGTATGCTACAACATTACTTGTCTAAACTTTCGGAGGGTGGGCATGGGTTGGTTCGTTTTTTCCATCCTCAAGGCAAAAACAGCTAATTGCAGTTTGGCTTGTATGCAGTCCAAACTATTAATCATGTTCAACTGAACCAACCACATAATTGGGGGTTAGTTTGGACTTCAAGTTCAAAATCAATTTACATGCATATATTAGCCCATAATCAAATTAAATCAACACAAATCAGCTTATTGCAGTTTGCTTGTAAGCAGTCCAAACTACTCCCTCCGTCCTAAAACTTTCTTCCCACTTCCCTTTTTTCTCCGTCCTAAAACTACCTTCCCATTAGAAAAAAAGATGACAAATGACATTAATACCCTCATGTATTTACACCAATTATCTTCTAACTCTATATTTTGAATGATTGCAAAAAAAAAATCAAAAAATCTTTTTTAAGGAGGGTAAAATTTGAAGTCAAAGCCAAAAATTAAAAATGGGGAAAAGTCAAACTGGGAAGAAAGTTTTAGGACGGAGGGAGTATTAGTCATGGTCAACTGAACCAACCACATAATTGGGGGTTAGTTTGGACCTCAAGTTCAAAATCAATTTACAAATATATATTAGCCCATAATCAAATTAAATCAACACAAACTATAAACCAAAATTTAAGATGATTATGTACATCATTTGATTAATATATTGTAATTGTATTAGACAGAAAAAACCTCTCTGTTTTACAGAGGTAAGGTTGCCTACATCTCGACCCATCTCCCACAGACCACAATGTTGTATGAAATGAACTAATTGGGATTTATTTAGCAGTCTTATTGTTACAGGCTTGATATTTTTAATGGTGCACTCACTTGGTCCCACTTTATCATGTCTGTTTTTATCCGTCCCAATTCATGATGCATGCTTACATTTATAGAAATTATTATGTGGTTCATTCATATTATTTCTCTGCATAAATTTCAGTCTCATAGTTTTGCCCAATCAAAGTCAGCACAATAAAATGGGATGTAGAGAGTATGCAATATGTTAGTGGTTAAATTGAGTTGAAATGGTTTTCTTCACATCAACCTGCCTACCGGACCAAATCACAATTTTGAAGAAATTGATACGTAAAAAACCCCCCAAAATTATGGCTAGTAAATTACATCTATTTTTTCCATCATAGCCATGATATGGAACGTGCCTACTAATGGAAGCTCAATCAATGTGCTAAGGCTTAATCAGAGAGATACTATGTGCTGTGTTTGTGCCATTGGCTTATGTTTCCACATCATTTGGTTCCCTAATTGCAAGTATATGCTGTGAATGGCTAGGTTGCTGTATATGCAGAATTTCGTAGAGACTGGGGTGAAGCTTTGAGGATGTATGAGGATGCATATCACGTACTAAGAGAAGTGAGTTGTCATTCTTTTTCTTTGATGAGAATATTAAGAAATGCTTTCTTCTGTGGTCATTTGTATATTTATAATACCTTCTCTTCTCATATTAAAGGTTGTTTTTCATTTTATACAGATGGTTGCTACATCAACAAGATTGCCTCCCATTCAACGTTTAGTTGAGATCAAGACAGTCGCTGAGCAACTGAATTTTAAGATTTCGACATTGTTACTGCACGGTGGAAAACTTTTAGAGGCAATATCCTGGTTTCGGCAGCATAATGCTTCTTACAGGCAGCTTGCTGGGGCACCGGAAGTTACTTTTCTTCATTGGGAGTGGTTGAGCAGGCAGTTTTTGGTGTTTGCAGAACTACTAGAGACAAGCTCTGCCACTGATCTTAATACATCCACTGTAGTTTCAGGCACTGCAGATACGCCAACAGAGTGGGAGTTCCATTCGGCTTATTACTTCCAGGTTTTGGAGCTCTTCTTTCTAAATTCTTTAGGTGCAAGTCTCACCATTCTCTCTATTTCTGTAGAAATGTAGCATGCTATCCTGTTTCTTGTTTTTTCATTTGCTACACCTTCAACTTTTAACAATAGTGGTACAGTGGTGAGTTAGAAGGGGTAGGAGCCACCTCCG